AACGGTCATTACAGAACCCTATGGCCGGCCTGACCGTTCCACCTCTCCAGCCCTGACTACGCCTGTGTTCCTGCACCTCCTAAGATTATGGAAGGTTGGTTTGTTCACTGTGCGTTTATATATATATATATATATATATATGTCTGGGTGGCTAATAATAACCTGTATTATTATACTATACCTGAAACCTGCGTTTCCCTGTGTCAGTCCACACCTTTCTGGTCATTCCTAGATTCCTGACAACTGCTCTACATCCTATTGACTCCTGTACACTGTCCTACGGTCTACTGACCCCTGCACACTGCTCTACATCCTATTGACTCGTGTACACTGTCCTACGTTCTAATGACCCCTGTAAACTGCTCTACATCCTATTGACTCCTGTACACTGTCCTACGTTCTAATGACCCCTGTACACTGCTCTACATCCTATTGACTCCTGTACACTGTCCTACGTTCTAATGACCCCTGTACACTGCTCTACATCCTATTGACTCCTGTACACTGTCCTACGTTTTAAAGACTCTTGTACACTGCTCTACATCCTATTGACTCCTGTACACTGTCCTACATTTTAAAGACTCTTGTACACTGCTCTACATCTTATTGACTCCTGTACACTGTCCTGTTGCCCCCTGTCCTCTGCCCTACTGACTCCCTATCCTCTGCCCTACTGTTCCCTGTACACAGCTCTACATCCTACTGACCACTGTACATTGCAATACATCCTACTGACCTCTGTACATTGCAATACATCCTACTGACCTTTTCACATTGTAATGCATCCTACTGACCTTTGTACACTGCTCTACATACTACTGACCTCTGTACACTGTTCTATATACTACTGACCCCTCTATGCCAACCCAGGAACTCTATGCACTATTCATCCTTTTTTGGTATGGGGGGGGGGGGGGGGGGTTCACACTTGGTATCTTTGCCCCCTTGCTCAGCATTGTACATTTATTTATCTATTTAATATTACTACATTCTACACTATGTAAGTCATCTTAGACTCTATTTAAGCATATCCTCCTTAAGCCACGCCCAATATTTAGCATAATTTAAACCATGCTTCATGTGTTGCATTTTTGTTATGGCGGTGATCAGTACGCTGGTATGGGGTATGGGGGGTGATCAGGATATGCTATGGGGTATGGCGGTGATCAGAACGCTGGTATGGTGTATGGCGATGATCAGGGTGCTGGAAAGGCATATGGTGGTGATCAGGGAATTGGTTTGGGCAGGGCCGTCTTTAAGGCAGGGCAAAAGGGGCAGCTGTCCTGGGCAGCATTAATATGTAAATTGAAGCTGCATTCATATGCTTCTAGCAACCAGTAGGTAGGCAATAATGATATGCTGCAGTAAACTGATTTTGAGTCTAGTTGGTATTTATTGTCTCAGAGAAGGTGGAGAGTGAAATTGCATGGGGGGGGCAAGAAAATGTTTGCACAGGGTCCAATCACTATTAAAGACAGCCCTGGGTTTGGGGTATAGAGGTGCCCTGACACTGGTGATCAGGACAATGGTATGGTGTATGGTGGTGTTTTTGTGCTCACTGGGACAGGTGACAGTCGCTGGCTGCATTGTTTACTGAGCTCCTGTCGACAGTATGATACTCTACTTGTATAAGCTGGTGTTTGGAGGCCGCTAATCTTTGGCTTAGTCCAGAAAGACACTTTGTTCCAACTCTGTCACATCCCCTGATTGGAGGACCAGACATCACCGAGGTGAGCATCAAGTGTGTGGAGTGGTGAGAGCCTGCGGGCACACTTCATGAGGCGGTTGTCGCCTTTTGTGCAGAACTTCACTATCACCTAAGACCGTATGGTCATTATTCTCACCTACTATAAGGGTTGCACTCTACCTATACCCTATTCAAAGAACTTTAGCCATTATCCTGTTGTTTCCACAACTGTGTGTGCCTCTGGATTGTATATTCAGGGCATAGGTATTATCTGAACACATCTGAGTTACCTTACCAGTTCACCAATTATTCAGCACACCCAGGTCATGGGCCTCATCAGTCTGTTAGTCCACCACCTAATCACAAATAGGGGTACCCCACCTTTATTGATTTGCTTCCAATACTGCCCTAATCTGTTTTTTTTTTCATGGTTACATCATACATCTGGATGTGATTCATATGCCTAATTATATGATACTGTTGAGGTTTACACTAATTGGGCCTGAATGAAACACAAATGATGCAGCGCTACTACCATAAAAAGTCTTCACACATAAATGAATAAGTTAATGGTTATGGTTACTGTTATTTGGTCCTTTTAGGACCTTGTATTGACACTTGTCACACGTGAATATTTATGAGTTTTTTGGCACTATTTAATATTGTGTTTGTTATTTGTGTCACTAATTTTGCACTGTTTCACTTATTCATTTATGTGTGAAGAATGTTTATGGTAGTAGCGCTGCATCATTTGTGTTTCATTTATATTTTTTGTCTATGGGTATATGACTGTATGTAGCAGCTTTACCTTTGTTGGTAGGTATTAGTTTTTTAGGTAGGAGCGCAGGAGTTTGTCACATTGATTCACTAACTGGGCCTACTCTCCAGAATTCAGTCACCAAATTACCATTGAGAGGCTGTTGCTTGGGTAGCCAGTTATAGCCAGTTTTGGTGCCTACTGGTGCCCACTGACTGTGACTCTGGAGTTTATTGACTTGTTATGATATGCTCTATAAGAGATGGAGTTACTACATGTAGCGTATGTGAGTGGATGTGTGTGGCCCAGGCTTGAGTTGTAAGGTGATAACGTTATCTTACCTTATTTTTATGGTGTTTGGAGGATTGTTGGCCATTTGGCCTATTTATCTAAATTGATCTCAATAAAGTTGTTAAATTTGGTTACACTGCGGTTGCTTCTCTCTGTTTAGCCTCTGTCCAAGGAGGCCTCACTTGGTCTCCTTAAAATTTAATGGTTTAAATTTGGTTTTAGAGGACCCCACCTTTTAAATTATTGGTGAATCGGTAACCTATTGTGGAACTTTGTGATCTCTCTCTCCCCCTTTGGGGTGAGTTATATTCCTGTGTTAGCTTTTTTAACCAATTTATTTGGCTGCATTTTGTATTGTTCCTACACTGGGGCAGTGATCAGGGACACTGTGGCTGGCTGGCACTGCAGTCTGTGAGTGTACAAGCAACCTGACAGACTGTTATACACTCACAGGCTGCAGGATCGTTTCTCTCTGCTCTCACACTGAGAGAAGCGATCTTTAGTTTAACTTCCTAGTGTTTATTATGTTATTGCTGTGATTGGACACAGTAATCACACGGTAAAACACCATGTGATTGCCTGGACACAGCAGTAATGTGATCCGCTGTGACCGGATGATATACTGATCGCCGGGCTCCCAGGTGCGCGCTCTGTAAGCTGCGTAGGAGCTGCCGATACAGGCTGACCTACAGGTACATTAGCCCACATCGGCAAAGCTTCCTGTCCGCTGGCTATAGACTATGGGTGGATAGGAAGAGGTTAAAGCCAACAGTTTTTTTCCTTTTGGGATAAAGGTTTTACATGAATAAATTAAAGCCGATCATTTTAATCACCCCTGTCAGTATTAAATGGTTTGTCTCATCCATGTAAACTGATACATTCTGATGAAGAGTTTGTGCTTTTGAAATATAGCAGACTTACTGGCTGGATCGCCAGATGAAAATAAAAAAGGAAACACATCTAAGAATCTGTAAGCTGCAATGTAATCAATGTTTTCTTTTGGGTTTAATACTGCTTTAAGGTGCACATGTGGGCACAATATTCTAACTAAACCAGCACTTACATGGCATAGAAGACAGCTCCAGGTGCCTGCACATGCGTTCTGTATTCTATTAGCATTCCTCCAGAGCCTCAAACCTGGGGGGGGGGGGGGCGTCATTTCTGCAATAAGCAACCAAATTACTACGACTGATGCAATGGCTTGCCCCCTGCTACCTGCTGCAGATCAGTGTTGACCTGTGATGGGGTGCTCACCCATCAATAGGGAAACACAAAGGGCAGGAGGAACAATGTCAGAGCTATCGACTATAAACATTTGGTTACTATTTGCAGAATGCACTTGAAGTTAAACTTTGGGAGAAAAAATATTGGTGTTACTACTGCTGACTTTTACAAGGCATAACTGACATAAAGCCGTTACATCTGAAAAGTGTGAACTTCTGCTCAGTATGCTTGTTTCAGGTCACTAAATCACTGGGGCAATGAAGCCAGAATCAGTATGATAGTCATGGAGCTTGCAAGTAAGCAATGGCAGCTCCCATGTTTCTCTCCTCTCACTTTAAGTGCTTTATGCAGATAGTATTCTAGCTTATATACTGTAGTTCTAACCAGTCAATTCTGTCTGCTGAAATAAGCCTTACCAGTTACAATTTAAAAAGGACTTTGGAATGTTTTGCGGTGCTTATATTTTAGCCCACTATCCTTTTTAATGGAACTGAATGACCAAAACCTATGTGAAACCTGGCCGCCAGCCCTTTAAGAAAGTGGCTTTTGCATAGACCAGGCTTCACAGTGGAGGCCACCTACATTTTTGGTTTCTCTCTTCTCTGCCGTGATAGAATTTTGTGTGGAGAGAAACAAATGAGGACATCCAATGGCCACTTCCGAGGCCAGAAACCCCACTCACCTGGGGGAGACTGAGAGAGGGTAGCAGGGACTAATGGGGATGTAGTCCCTAAGACTGATATGGGTCAAAGGAGAGAGGGGGAGAAGGAATACATCACCTGGAGTGCAAGGAGGATGTCAGGAGGACAGTGTGAGCCTGCGTTGATGGAAGAGGCAGCACTAGGCTATTGAGTGGACACAAGCTGCTGGTTCTACAGATGGGAAACACAAGCTGGCACTGCCCACAGGCTGATGTTGAGAGACGTTAGCCCACACTGTACTGAGGTCTGTATTGCACCAGTCTGCTGTTGTGTGCTGGGAATCTGTGTGTGTCAGTCTGCTAAACTAGACTGTACATTGCAAGGGTGGACTGACAACTCATGGGGCCCCCGGGCAATAGGGAATCATGGGGCCCCTGTGTCCTTGCCCAAACTCAAAAAAGCCTATGAAAAAGGTACCAGGGGCATCTCATGGGGCCCCCTACTGACCCCGGGCCCTCGGGTAGTGCCCAAGTTTCCAAATGGTCAGTCCGCCCCTGACACATTGGTAATCTGGGAGCCTGTGTGTAAGGCTGCTGAGAGACAGCTGTTGTCTCTGTAACCTGTGTTGGGCTTCCTCTGTGGGATTTTGCTGCAGGGAGAAGAGTCACTCTGCAGAAAAAGAGACGCAGAGAGAATGCGGTCTAGAGGTAGAGCCTAGGAGCCTGCATACTATGTGCAGAATGCAGTGAGAGACTGCGGCTGTGATTTAGATTCAATGAGAGTCTGTGATCCTTTATGACCCTCAAGGAGATGATCACTTGGAGCTTCTAGTGGGCACTGGCTGGAGAGGAAGACCATTTCCTGCCCTTCCTGGGACTACTGGAGAACCAAAGACCTACTACAGTGGTCATCGGCTGCTTGGTCACTGACGTACTCTGTTGCCTGTTCAGTGGGATAGTGCTGCCCATCTTCTGGGAGCACTTAGGACCCTCTTTCTTTGGGACCACACATTCCCTGATTGGGATTACAAAAAGCTTAAATACAGAGCTCTCTATCAAGGACTATGGGCCCCAATGCTGGCAGGACTGGGTTTAGTACTGCTGGCTAATAGGGTAACCAGGGAATTTGGTCTTCTTAGTTAGGCCATTTGATTACTCATGTACCTTGCACTTATGTAACTTCTATGTGCAGTAACATAGAACTAGGATTGTAAAAGACTAAAAGACCTGGGGTACCTTTGATTGCCGCAAGGGAAGTAGTAATGCGGCGTGCGTAGCAGGCCACAGCGAACAGTGTGTGGCTAAATTGTGTTAACGGTGGGAAGGGAACACAGGAGGAAGGAAAGACAAAAGCCTTCTTGTATCCATAAAGTGAGTTTAGATTGCTGTGTCTCAAGTAAGAGGTTCATAGACATGTATAAACCTCAGCAAATCATATAAAAAAACAACCTTTCCATTACATATAATTTTGTGTACACTGAAAATAAACAGAGAGCTAACACTTTTTCTGAGACTACCTTAAAGAACTTCATTAAAATACTCAGGGACTGCTTAGCAATTAGCAGCTGTTAACACAATAAACCATAGCTCTAACTGCCCCTGATTTCGAGGGCATGTCCCTTATTCAGAACAAAATCCCTCTGTCCCTCTTTCATTTCATCCTCATTTGTCCCTCATTTTGGTCTGAGCTATATAGTTGTATAAAAAATGTACTACTCAACTATCAGAAAATGTTTCACAGTGCTAGACCTTTCATCCAATTTCTAAATTTTTGCATTGTAAATTTCAAAAGCCAATATAAAGGAATTGTAGTGGTAAAACACTCGGGTTAACCTATCTTTTTTTGTACAATTCTCCTTTAAGGGAGGGGGTTGTCCTATGCCTACATACTTTTGCTTGTAGGTGCCCTCATTCCCATCTCAGAATGCAAAAAAAACTTCGGTGAGAAGTATGTAATGTATAGTATATAGTGTAGGAGTGTGTAATGTACAATACAGTGTATGTAATGCAGGTGTATACTGTATAATGCAGGAGTCTGTTAAGTTGGCCATACACAGTTTTTTTTCTTGTTCAGCCAGTAGACCACACAAATTAGGTGGGGTTTTTTTTCAGGGGGGGGGGGGGATACATACAGAGCACAGGGGTGTGTATGGTAGAGAGCACAGGGGTGTGTATGGTAGAGAGCACAGGGGTGTGTATGGTAGAGAGCACAGGGGTGTGTATGGTAGAGAGCACAGGGGTGTGTATGGTAGAGAGCACAGGGGTGTGTATGGTAGAGAGCACAGGGGTGTGCATTATACATAGCACAGGTGTTGGTAAGGTCCAAAGCACAGGGGTACGGTACAGAGTACAGGAGTGGGTACGGTACAGAGCACAGGTGTTGGTACGGTCCAAGCACAGGAGTGGGTACGGTACAGAGCACAGGAGTGGGTACGGTACAGAGCACAGGAGTGGGTACGGTACAGAGCAGAGGAGTGGGTACGGTACAGAGCACAGGGGTGTGTATTATACATAGCACAGGAGTGGGTATGGTACAGATCACAGGAGTGGGTATGGTACAGAGCACAGGAGTGGGTATGGTACAGAGCAGAGGAGTGGGTATGGTACAGATACAGAGGAGTGGGTATGGTACAGATCACAGGAGTGGGTATGGTACAGAGCACAGAGGAGTGGGTATGGTACAGAGCAGAGGAGTGGGTATGGTACAGAGCAGAGGGGTGGGTATGGTACAGAGCACAGGGGTGGGTATGGTACAGAGCACAGGAGGTGGGTATGGTACAGAGCACAGGAGTGTGTATGGTACAGAGCACAGGAGGTGTATGGTACAGAGCACAGGGGTGGGTATGGTACAGAGCACAGGGGTGGGTATGGTACAGAGCACAGGGGTGGGTATGGTACAGAGCACAGGGGTGTGTGGTATGGTACAGAGCACAGGGGTGTGTATGGTACAGAGCACAGGGGTGGGTATGGTACAGAGCACAGGGGTGGGTATGGTACAGAGCACAGGGGTGTGTATGGTACAGAGCACAGGGGTGGGTATGGTACAGAGCACAGTGGTGTGGTATGGTACAGAGCACAGGGGTAGGTATGGTACAGAGCACAGGAATGGGTATGGTACAGAGCACAGGGGGGGTGCATGGGTACAGAGCACAGGAATGGGTATGCACAGGAGTGGGTATGGTACAGAGCACAGGAGTGGGTATGGTACAGAGCACAGGGGTGTGCATTATATAGAGCACAGGAGTGTGTATGGTACAGAGCACAGGAATGGGTATGGTCCAGAACACTGGGGTTCATATGGTACAGAGCACAGGAATGGGTATGGTACAGAACACTGGGGTTCATAGGTACAGAGCACAGGGGTGCGTAACCTGCAGGGGTCAGGAGTGCGTATCGCGCAGGGGTCAGGAGTGCGTATCGCGCAGGGGTCAGGAGTGCGTATCGCGCAGGGGTCAGGAGTGCGTATTGTTCAGGGTGCTCAGGGCTCAGGTTCAATTATTTTACAGGGCTCAGGAGTGCATAGTGCATGGAGTAGAGGGTTCAAGATCTCATTTCACACAGTGCTCAGGAGTGTGCATTACGGGGCTCAGAAGCAGGTGATACACTGCTCAGTGTACGCAAATATTGCCCCCCCCCCCGCATTCCCAGTACAGACTCTCCCTCCAAAATAACTCCACTACAGACTATTCTCCACCCCTGGCTCTCTTTCCGGTCTGATGAGATGGTATAGCACATTTAGACAGGCTGTTACTTACTCCTTAGATCCCACTGTATGGTACAAACCCCTGTGTACCCATTGTCTTTTTTTTTTGGGCTGTGAGGGGTAAGTGGGAGGTGGACAGAAGCTGAGAGCCTTGCTCATGAGCCATTCATCTGTGATTATAGCAAGCTCCATCATAGTTTTGACAGGCTGCTGGCAGTAGAAGTAGACTCTGCACTTATGCCTCTGGGGCCATAAAAAAAGAAAGGATGTGAAGCTCACTGGCCAAACATGAAGCGTGCACGTAGCCTTATACATTTGCATGCTCCCATGTGTCAGTAGCTAAACGTTTACATCAGATTTGTATTGACATTTACAGCTATTCTTATGACTAAAATCATTTCACAGTACCTGTAAAAGTGGAAATCCAGCTTTGCACTGCAAAAGGGTGTATAGAAACAATTAGATGTGCACAACGAAAAAATGTGTCAAATTTCAGATCAGTTCATTAAGTTACTAATTTAGTTTCATTGCATTCGTAATTAAATTAATTTCCCTTCATTTTTGAATGGATTTGGATTGATCTGAATTCATTGTGAATAATAGCTGGTTATTGACAACCATGACTCATCTGCTGCCGCACCAAACCCCGGACCCTGCATTCACTATATCTGGTCTCCCACAGTACACAGAACATGGAAATGCAATTATTTTAGTAAATATAAACTGCTAAATACCTTTTCTCATCAGCAGTTAGAGTAGTCTTGTGACTTCAGCAGAGCACTGGTTAAAGCTTGTAGTAGGAGATTTCTTGCTGCTCTAGGAGGATGCAGAACCCCTGATCTCTGTCTGGACAGTGCTGATTGGCCCTGTGCTGATCATATGCACTCTTCCAAGAAAAAAAAAAAAACCTCTCTAGCAATGCACAGTAAACTGAGCATGTGCAGAAGGGCTACGGGTTCAGTCTGTCTTATCATCATGGACATTTGAACAAGTGGAGGGGCAGAGAAGTCAGGATTAAACAGCCTTTTTAGACAATGTAGATGATTAACCCCTTAGGTTCCACAGTGAGTATAACAAGCACGCTTTACTGCATATACAGACTGATTTTATTGTTGTGGGTTTAGTAACACTTTAAAAATTAGAAAAAAGACAGCATGCCCCCCCACCACATTCCATACCAAGACCTTAGGCCTGGTATGGATTTAAAGGTGAACCCCATGCCTCCTTTTTTAAGTCGGGTGAAACATGTTGTCATGGCAACAGATCACACAGCCCATTAGCAACCAGCTGCTCACATCATGGGACCCCATAGAAGGCTTCTTGTGCATGTGAACTGTCAGTGTGCATGAGATAAAGCACAGCGGCGACTGCATTTGGTCCAGGACTGCTACCATATCCACACTGTCAGCTGGGGCTCCTATAATGGGCGGTGAGAGGATTTTGATGCAGTTTTTGTGATTGAAAAGCTCTGATTCATTTTTGCTTGTGAGTGCATTTTTATCTAGTTTTTATTATAAAATAAAGGGTATGGCACCAGAGCCTGCGCGTTCTCTCTTGCTTGTGTGTTATCCACAAGTGAACATTGTACTGTTGGCAATGTTTGGTTTGACCTCCCTGGCACTAGTGTCTAGTGCAGTGTTTCTCAACTTTTTTTCAATCAAGGCACCCTTTAAAATTATGGACAGTCCCGAGGCTCCCTTTAAAACTATGGACAGTCTTGAGGCACCCCATTCTAAAATGTGAAAAAACTATTCTAATAGTTTTATATAACTCAACAACATGCACACCTGTAGGACACCCAACGTTAGGTGATTTATTCTTCCAGAGCAAACACACTTTTGCACTCTGGTACTGACTAGTATTCCAATGTTTTTTTTTCCCCCTCAATTTTTCTCCATCACTGAGTTAATGTGTCATTTGAAAGTTAATGTTTCCATGTCCCTAGACCATACAGTCAGATGCATGGTCCACTTGGCCACAAACACGCAGTACAGTAAGTATAGGCAGGGACTTTATATCTCATCTATACCCCTTATGTCACTTTGCTGAGGTCAGGAAGGATTAAGGACAGAGCACACCATTGTAGCTGGTTGTGCCACTTTGCATCCTGACACCTAGTGATGGTACCAGAAAAGTCCACACTTTGACTTCCTCTGCCAGTGAGTCATCCTTAGGACCACCAGAACCACCAGCATTCGAGAGGCTAGCCAATGGCTTAAGCAAAATGCTGCCATGCAGTTTTGTAGAGGGTACGCCTAGGGGACAGGAGCTACACTGTAGAAGAGATTTGCCTGTCCCTCTTTCAGCTCAAGTAGGCAGCAGAGACAGTAAAAACTGACAGCCAGGTTCATGGTTCTCCTCTGTGCCAGCACTGCGGTCCAGGGCTATACACTCTAATAATGGCACCACCTTAAACAGGGCCATAGATATTTCTTTCTTTTCCTGGAGCGGGTTCAGCCCTTGGGACCCAGGTGACTTCAGTGAATTGCATGTGTGATAAATTACACTGACAGTGGCAGAGGCTTAAAACGTGAGTGCATATCACAGAGAGGTAGGGTCAGAAGTGCAGATTCCCTCCCCAGTACAGCTCTCCTCCTTCTGGTACAGCTCCCTCCCCCCAGTTCTTCTTCTTAGTAAACCTCTTCTCACCAGTACACCTGTCCCCATCAGTACAGCACTGCCCCCCAGTACAGCTTTCCCCCATCAGTATAGTCTCCCCCCCCTCAGTACAGATCTGTCCCTAGCAACTGACAACTTATGGGGCTCCCGGGTAATAGGGGATCATGGGGCCCCTGTGTCCTTGCCCAAACTCAAAAAAGCCTATGAAAAAGGTACCAGGGGCATCTCACGGGGCCCCCTACTGACCCCGGGCCCTCGGGCAGTGCCCGAGTTTCCAAATGGTCAGTCCACCCCTGGTCCCTAGTACAGCTTTCTCTACCCCCATTACAGATGTGCTACCTCAGTACAGCTCTTCCCCCTCCATATAACACAGTTTACCAGAACAGGGCAGTTCAGAGTGCAGGGAGTCCTCTCTTGGCTGGGTCTTTTTTTTTCATTTCTTTTCAGCACATACAATAAACAACTACCTTAGAACAACAGTACCCAGGTGAAAAACCTACTAAAACTACTAAATTATAGCAGCTGCTTGGCATATGAAGAAGAAATATTGGCTAGGTCATTTGATTGAAACCAGGGAGGAGCAGCCTTGCTCATTCTGAAGTTGAAAGAGTGGCCCCAGCTTTGGGTGCCCAGTGTGGCCATGACCTCAGATAGGGTGGTATAGGCCTGTGTCCCATCAGGTCAGCAGTGGGCCCTGCAGAGTGAGGACGATTAGTAAAAATTAGATCGATACTGAGATAATCAGCATTTCTCCTGCACAAGGATGAAACTGCTGACATGTCATTACCACCCCCAACTCACATGCCTGCCAAAGGTCCCAAACAAGGCCACTGATAGTGGGGTACAGGCAGCCTTTCCATACCAAGTCTGGTTCACATCAAGTCAGGAAGTGCCCTGTGATATGAAAGCTTTAACCTGTGTCCCTTAAAGTGTTACTAAACCTACAACAGTAAAATCAGTTTATATGCAGTAAAGCATACTCACTGTGGAACCTAAGGGGGTGATCTTGTCTTCTCTGATTCTCCTCTTCTTCTACTTTCCCCAATCCATCTATTGATAGAATAGAGCCTTGGGGGAAAGCTGCACATGCTCAGTTTGGTATTATGTATACTGCTAGAGTTTTTTTTTCTTGGAAGAGTGCATGTGATCAACACAGGGCCAATCAGCGCTCTCCAGACAGAGGGTCCTGTAGCCTCATAGGGCAATCAGGGGAGAATGAAAACTCATCCTACAGGCTTTAACCAGTGCTTTGCTGGACACTGATAGAAGTCACAAGCCTACTCTAACTGCTGATGAGAAAAAGGTATTTAGAGGTTCATATTTACTAAAATAATTACATTTTCATTTTCTGTGTACAGTGGGAGACCAGAGAGTGAATGCAGGATCCTGGGTTTAGTAACACTTTAAATGCTAGTGTGGCCAGATGTGACCCATACTGCATGGGGTTTAAGGGCACACCCTAACTTAAAGGCACTTCAGTTGGTGCCGGAGGGAGCCCTATGTCAGCATAGTGCATATAGGAGCACTATATGAGGCACCTGGGCATAGCAGATCAAAACCCGAAACTGATTGGATGATCTTCAGAACTGTGTTATTGTGTGTTTAACCCATTTGCATTGGTGTACAGTTTGTGTGCATTCATAGGCATAGGGGGGCCCTGTCAGGTAGGTTGTACAGATCCCCATGATTTCTAATGGTGGCTCTGGAAGGGGATATATTGCAAAATAGACAATATCTCTCCCTTTCTTTTTTTTTTTGCAAAGAATAAAATGTTATTTATCACTCTCTTGTCAGTTTAGCAGAAAGTAACATTTAGTCTCTGCAGAGTCCCTTGTTCAAAATAAGGACACAAAGAAGAGAGAGAGAGGGGGAGAGAGAGGGGTGAGGGAGGGAGAGAGAGGAAGAGAGAGAGGGGGGATGGGGAGGGGGAGAGAGGGGGGTGGGGGGGGGGAGAGAGGGGGGATGGGGAGGGGGGGGGGGGGGAGAGAGGGGGGGTGAGGGAGGGAGAGAGAGGGGGAGAGGGAGGGGGGATGGGGAGAATGAGAGAGAGAGGGGGGTGGTAGGGAGAGAGAGAGAGGGAAAGAGAGAGAGAGGGATAAGAGAGAGAGAGAAAGCAAGAGGGAGAAAGGGGGAGGAGAGAGAGAGAGAGTGAGAGATAGGAGTGAGAGAGAGAGAGAGGGAGAGACTGCACACAATTACGCACCTTTTCTGACTGTATATTTTCTCTTCGCAGGAGCGTGAAAGATTTTAGGGTTTTAAAGTTAACTGCTAATTTAACCATCAACTGAAGATGCCCACCCAGATTAGTTGGACATACACAGGTTAGATCCATCACTGCTTTTAACATATATTTAAAAAATGTACTGGTCGTTGCAATAATAACAGATGACCTAAGCCTGCATGTATCCTAACTCATTCAAGCCAACATATGTAAACTGAATTTTTTTTTTTTTTACAAAAAATTGCAGCAAATGTTACCTCTCATTACACCCAAGGTTGGTATGTCTAAATTCCTAACCCCTTCACTGTGTGCTTCTTACCAGTTGTGCTTGCTGTGATCGCTGTTTATATTTTATCGCCAGAAATGACATGAACAACACAGGAAATATATCATAAATATAGGTCTGAATATTCAAAAGTTTTTTGAGTCTATCTATCTATCTATCTATCTATCTATCTATCTATCTATCTATCTATCGCTTGATCTACTCATAATTTATAGTTTTTACAGTTACAAATACATTTTAGTTACTGAATTCTATAAGTACACTTTGGACCAAAGTTAATATTTTTTTCTGTGTTTTACTGAAGAGTTAACGTGAGCATATATTTAACTAAATGCATAGTAGTAACCAAACCACACTGATATGTTTTCTTGGTTCACAGGAAGCACCTGCCAGA